CTGGAGGAGCAGCCCACAGTCACTGCCATCACGGAGCGCAATGGCTTATTAAAGGAATAAAGACAACACTGTACTTGATTTCCAGAACGGAGGGGCAGGAAATCCTCCTGACCCTGTCATGGCTTTACTGATCTTAATGGGTCTGCCACAGAGAAAAGCTCTGCTTGAACAGTGGAGGGGTGCTGCTCCTGAGGGACGAGTTCAAAAACGCCAGCTGACAAATATTAATAAAAACATTTCCCACTGTTTCTTCATCAGAGCTTAAAAGAAACAGCATACTGCAGAGCATACTGGCAAAATCTGTACACTTATACTATAAAATACACATATGCTCATTTCTGTAAACTAGTAACTGAGAGTTTCTTGGAGAATGGATGACCTTCTTAAGAAAACCAGTTTCTGGCATAAATAGACCCCATGAAGAGGGCTTAATGCTTATTTCTAATCTCCTGGAAGATTGTACAAATGAACAAAATGAGGTTGATCACCAAGGAAAATCACCAATTAAGTAATACATCTTTTGTTAAATATTAATTATATTTAACTTTTCCCCATCACAGAATTTACAAGGTTCTCATGAGTCAAGAATTAATTTGGAGGTTTTTATTTATCCTCTGCTGTGAATGGATCACTTTTCAGTGGAGGGTGAATGAATTTATTCTGTATCAGCTTTCCGCTTGAAAAGAAAATCCTTCCTAAAAGAACAGGCAATCTTTGCCAGAGAAATCCAGACCGAGTGAGACCGAGTGAAACATTTCATTGTTCGGGCTGTTAGATCCTAATGAGTTCTGCATCTAAGCACTTGTGATTTTTTTTCCACCTGATCCGGCAGTAGCATAGCAGTTTATGCACTTAAATGTACGAGACTTGTTTGGGAGGAAGATTTGTATTAAAGGAAGGCAGCATGTTCCATAGTTTTAGTATAACATCTGTTATTATCATTCAGTGCTGCTCTTAGCCCAGCATGCCCTTCCTCTAAATATCTTATTAATTAAACTGGCTTAGCAGGAAAATAATTAATACTTTAAGTCCTGTACCTACTTAGAAAGGATTTGGAAACTGAAAAAATTGTTTTAGTTTGAGCTTCAAACCGGAGAGGTTTTTTTTTCATTCTTGAGCAGAAGCGGATTACAACTAAAAGGGAATATCTGAAAAACTTATGTCTCCCAAAAATATATTCTATCTTTGAAATTCTGCTAGACTGCAAAAATAGTCCATGACTTTGAGAAGTCTTGGTCAATACTTGAGTGTCTTGCCCAGCAATTGTTTTGGGAAAGGCACTTCTGCGCTTCTTCAAAATGTCCTGCTAGCCCTCTATAGCAGTCGGTCCCCCGAAAGCCTGAACTCCAGTCCACAAAATTACCGTGTTTCTTACCACTACTTAATAATGTGATGGGACTTCCTAGCCATGAAGTCAGTAGTAACGCTGCTACCTTGCATAGCTGGCTGTTGAATAAGCAGGAGGGTGAGATGGTGAACCCAGGTGGGTGCCAGTGAATTTGTATGTAAAATGTGGATCTGTTACTTAGCTATTTAAGGTAAAGTACAGAAATAGCAGTATTTGCCCATGTCTTTGTTTTGTGAGCAGTGCTGCTGTCTATATGCAGAAACTGCTGCTTTGCTGCTGTTTCACCCAACTTGATTTCCCACTGAAGAACAAGCTCAGACAGACTGGGTGCTGTTTGCTGCTTACACTAACAGAAAATTACACTTTCCCAGACCTATTGGAAAAGGTGTTGGGTGCCACCAAAATGCTCTTTAAAGTCAGTCAGGGTTTTAACAATTTTGTTGGTGGGAGAAAGCTCAGGAGTTACCTGTAGCTTGTTTTGGCTTTTTTTGGAGGGGCTGAGGGCAGCTATTCTTAAGGAGGATGAGGAAAAAGCTTTAAATACCGTGCCAGAACAAGGCCCCTCCAGTGCAGGGAAAAGGCAGGTTGGGGAGCAGTCTGCAACGTGACTCCACAGTCTGATTGTTGGGTATTTCTTTTCAAAAACATATTAGAAACTTAGAAATCAAAGCTTCATTCAAAGTCAGTGAGGTGCCTAAAGCACTTCTTCAAATGAAGAGCCGCCCACTGTGGGAGAACATCAGGTTCAAGACCATCTAAGGCACCTGAAGGTGCACAAGTCCATGGGACCCAATGAGATCCATCCACGGGTCCTGAAGGAACTGGCGGATGAAGTTGCTAAGCCACTATCCATCGTATTTGAGAAGTCGTGGCAGTCCGGTGAAGTTCCCACTGACTAGAAAATGGGAAACATAACCCGCATTTTTAAAAAGGGAAAGAAGGAAGACCCAGGGAACTACAGGCCAGTCAGTCTCACCTCTGTGCCTGGGAAGATCATGGAACAGATCCTCCTGGAAGCTATGCTAAGGCACGTGGAGGACAGGGAGGTGATTCGAGACAGCCAGCATGGCTTCACCAAGGACAAGTCCTGCCTGACTAACCTATGGCCTTCTATGAGGGAGTGACTACATCCGTGGACACAGGAAGGGCTACACGTGTCTTCTATCTGGAGCTCTGTAAGGCCTTTGACACAGTCCCCCACAACATCCTTCTCTCTAAACTGGAGAGGTATGGATTTGATGGGTGGACTGTCCGGTGGGTGAGGAATTGGTTAGATGGTCGCATCCAGAGG